TGATAATACCAACATGGGCCAGTGAAGCGACGTCCTCCACAACTAGACTGAAGAACAAAAGGGCAGCAACTTGTCTGTTCCCCTTCCCCGATTCCCCAAGATCTTAAAAAGAAAGATTTCAAAAGCAACATAAAATACCAAACAGCCAAGTGAGCAAATCCTCACCTAATAATAGGTTGAACTGATTTTGAAAATCAAATTTAGGGCTCAGCTTACAAAATTCACTCTCTCTCAGACCTCAGAGTTTAATTAAAATAATCTGAACAATTTCTCTGGCTGACAGCCCCTGACCCAGGGCTAACTAGTTAGCTCTGAGAAGCAGCCACGTTGTTGGGAGTTACTTTCTTCGTGTTACTGATGACCCACCAGAAGTCAGCCAACTGCAGCCCTTGGCCTCTTTCTGTACAGCCTCTGGGCTAAGAAGGGTTTTACATTTTAAGGGTTATAAAAAAACAAACACACAAGATAGAATATGTGGCCTGCAATGCCTAAGACATTTACTATCTCCTTAACAAAAAGTTTGCCAATCCTGAATGTGAGATATTAGATTTTTCACACAAAATAAATTTAAATTATTTCTATTCCAGTGTACTCATTAGAGTGTGTAAGGAGGTCTCTGGTCATTCCCTGATGAAGGTGAAGGGGATGAAAAGTGTCTTGGACCCCCGTGTCTACTTCCTTCTGAGAAACAGTTTCCTTTTACAACTGCTTGGTATATTCCTTCTCCCACAGCGTCTTTAGATTCAAATTATTTTTAACAGGTTACAACTAAGTCTGTCAAACTCATATTTTATTGAACTCTTCCTTTTGTTTCACAATATCCTGTTTCTAGGTGGCCAATAAACAAAATTGAGTATTCATTCTTAGACCTCAATAAGTGCAGTTCTCACCTTTTCACAAGCCAGAGAAGAACTTCAGATACAAGTCCAAAATTTGGTGTGCGGAAATTTTCCATAGAAATATGTCGAGGGTATCCCAAGGCTCTCATCATCTCTGTAAAATCTGTCCACGATAAAATGCAATTCAGTCAGTTCCTCGTCCAACAGCAACTACTTATTAACTTAGATACTTTCTCTGCTTTTCCTTCTTATTCCCAATCTACTGACAGTTTTAGAGACTACTTATCAATTCTCTAAGAGGGAAAGGAAAAAGTAGATAAAGTTAAAATAATCTGCTTCCTGAAAAACATTTATTTAAGTTCAGTGGGAGATGTCAAAGCTGTATATTAAAATGGGGTTTAGGGATTGGCTGTGAATATATTTATTTTTTAATTTTTCAATTACAGTTGACATACAATATATTAGTTTCAGTTGTACAACGTAGTGATTAGATGTTTATATAACAACGAAATGATTATCACAATAAGTCTAGTACCCATCTAACACCATACATAGTTATTGCAATATTGACTATAGTCCCTATGCTGTACTTTATATCCCAGTGACTGTTTTTATAATTGGCAATTTGTACATCCTAATCCCTTCCCCCTTTTCATCCATCCCCCCAATCTGGCAACCATCAAAATGTTCTCTGTATCTATGTCTGTTTCTGTTATTTTTTTAGCTTCTATTGGCTATTAATTTAATTTCTCTTTGATATCTCACTTCTATCTTGGATATCTTTTTACCACTCAAAATGAGGAATACCTAGCCTTATAATAAAATGTCATAAAGAAAAAATATTTTTAAATGTTAACAGTAGTTATTTTGGAGGTGATAGTGGTCGGGTGAAGTTCATGTTTCTGAGTTAGTTCTGAATTACTTGTCTTTTTTTGTGTGAGCACATAGGACCTTAATAACACAAATTTTAAAGATTAGTTGCATTGTATTTACAGAAATCTTAAACAGAATGGTTAACTCTAGAGCACTGTTTTTATATATATATATATATATATATATATATATATATATATATATATATAGTAAAAGAGATTAAGAAACAGTAATAGTGACACTTGTAGGTACCAGAGGTTGCAGTCACTAAGCTTTAAGCAGGACTTGGAAATGAACACAACAAACATTTTTTGAGTTACCACAAAGTGCCAAGATATATATTCGGTGTGCTTCTGGCTATGTAATATCTGTCCTCACTCTTCTTGAAGGTGGATGTTCAAAATGTACCAAGGACATTCACAAATAAGGTTAGGTTGGATTTCACCAGACAATAAAATAGAAGGTATGGTCAGAGAAAAGAGCAACCACACAGAGGGCCTGTAATTACTTTTGGGGAAATTTGAATAGTGATGTAAAATAAAGCAGTAGCCTTCCCACCACAGTTAGGCACAGCCTAAATACGTCTTCCCACTAAATAATAGTCAAGTTCTGTTAATTCTGCAGTAGTATGGTCAAAATTGAGACAATTTAAGATTCTTACCATAAATTGCATAACTACAGCATTCATTTAACGTAAAAATGTTCAGAAATCCCCTTCTTGTACACTCTTCCCCATACGACTCCATTCAACATCCCCTAGCAGAGGGCTCTCTCTAAACAACACAAGAGGAGAATCTTGTCTCTACAAATAACGTAATCATCAAGAACCTTCGAATCCCAACAGGCATAATTCATGCTACGGTGCTACTAGGTGCATTAATAAAAGGTGATGCCTGCCTCTTTCTGTATATTTACGTTGTAGAAAAACAGCAATTCATAATTGAAAGAAGTATTTTTTAATGGTGAAATTTCAGGCACCAGCAATTCAATTAGAAAATTAGCCTTAAAGAGGCCCCTCAGATCACACCAAACTGGCAATCACCTGCTACATCTATGCCCGTGAAGCCACTTTGCTGAACTGCTTCTGAATCAGAAAATGATAGTGTACAAAAGGCAAGAGATTTTGATTCACACAGCACTATGTCTTGATCTTGGTTCCACCCGGCTCTGACTGTGTGACCTAAAATCTACTTTACCTCTTTGTACCTCGAAGTATTGGGTTGTCAGAAAAGTCATGATGCGTTTTTGCAACAAAAAACCGAAAAAATACGTCATGACTTTTCCGACAACCCAATATCTCATCCAGGAATCACCTACCTCACTGTTAAAGTGAGGACTAAAATAACACAGTGAATGTAAAATGCCTGGTGTATAACAGGCAATCCCCAAAGTAGTAGTAACTAATTCTCTTATCCACCTTCTTCCACTTTTCCAACCTTCTAGCAAAGGCATTTATTTGGGTTCCATTCTCCTCATCAGCCCCTTTAGAAAGGATGAAGGCTCTGAACGTTAGACAATCTGAATTCAAACTCCAGTGCCAGTTCTAACCACTTGTGACCCTTGACTGAGTTACCTGACCTCTCTGTGCCTGTTTCCTCATCTCTAAATACAAAAGCGTAGAGTTGTTCATAGCAGTAAATAAAATGATGCACACACACAGAACAGTTACTACCTGGCAGATCGTAAACACTCAAAAAATGTTAGCCCCAATTGTTATTCACTAGCCCCCTCCCTTTTGTTGTTTCTCTGAGCTCTAAGTTAACCTAATTCAAAACAATCAAATATGGTAGTGAAGAGTCCATGTGACTATATAAATTAATTAAAATTAGATAAAATTAAAACTGGTTCCTGGGGCCGGCCGAGTGGCTTGTTGGTTAAGAGCTGGCTTAGGAGCACAAGCTCTGAGCAGCAGAGCCACCGGTTTGGATCCCACATGGGCCAGTGACACTGCGCCCTCTACAGCTAAGATGATGAACAGCTCAACCTGGAGCTGGTCTGCTGTGAGTAGCCTGGACGGCACAGGCTGCGATGGGGCTGCAGTGGGCTGCGTAAGCTACCGTGACCGGCAGCCGCTCACACAGGCTACCATAGTGAGCTGCCGTGAGCCACCGGGAGCGGCCATCCACTGGCCAGCGAAGGATCTGCCTCAGCTGGGAAGAGCGCAATGATCACAATACCAACATGGGCCACTGAAGCGATGTCCTCCACAACTAGACTGAAGAACAAAAGGACAAGCAACATGTCTGTTCCCCTTCCCAGATTCCCCAACGCTGTTCCCTCCCCCCAATACCCCAATAAAATCTTTAAAAAACAAAAACAAAACAACTTCGGTTCCTGAGCCGCACTAACTAGCAACAGCGAATGGCCGCTAGAGAGCTTCCCATCATCACAGAAAGTTCAGTAAGCTAGGGCTGAGGCGCTCATTCCGGGGAGGGGGGTGGGGGGCGGCAGAGGGCCAGGGACGTCCAAGACACACAGGCCCGGGAGGGAGCTCTGGCGGCACAAGCCTCGGCGGGGCTCAGACGGACCCGCGGGCCGAAGCCCCTAGTCTCGGGAGAACCGCAGGTGATAGGAAGCAAGGTGCCTTACTGCGGAGGTCACGGAAAGACATGACGCTCTGGTCTCCACTAGCACGGAATCGCTGCCGCTCGCACGGAATGTCAGCCGACAGCCCCTCAGCGCTCACGGGTCTCTATGGCAATGCACGGAGCCCTCAACGGCGTGCAGCAAGGGCCAAACAAGACGCGAGGCAAAACGCCTGGCCTGCGCGCGCACGCGCAACAGTAGGGGCGGTCAGCAGGAGAAGTCCCGGACTCGAGGAGGCAGCGGGTGTCGGATTACGGCCCCGGCGAGGAGCTCCGGGTCCCCTCCACACACTTTGCATAAAGACTGTTGGTTGACACATTCTGACCACCTACTGTGTGCTTGACACTGCTAGGCGCTCTACACAGTGCTTCCCATTGCCTCAACTCTTCTAAAAAGAATGTATGATGTCACAAAGCCGAATCATCCTCCTGGGTCCTGTGGCCAGCACTCTTCTCCTTGTAAACTGGCTTGCGGCGACCGCATCCAAAGCCCTCAAGAAGCTACCGCCCCGTGAAAAAGCAGGATACCAGGCTGTCCCCGGGGAAATAAGGCTGACCGGCTCGGACCTGCGCACGCGCACTCGGCTCGAGCTTCACGACCGGCCGGAAATCAGCCCGGATCCCTGCGCCTCGGAGGTTGTCCTCACAACCGTGGCCTTTTCCGGCGAGGCCCGTTGGTGCCCCGAGTTGAGAAAGCAAGACTCGGAGGTGAGGGTGCCCAACATGTTGCCAGGTCAGCTGGGGGCTCACCTGGGAGTCCTCCGTAGGGCTGCCACGGTGGAGGACAGGCGACACAGAAGGGCTGAGGAGGTGAAGTGATTTGAGCTCGGAAATGTGGGCGAATAGAAGGGACTGCCAGTCGCTGAGCTATCTATCCTCTGCCCCTGTATTGGTGTTGGCGAAATAATAAACATAAATTCACGGACCTTAAAGGAAGTCCCAAAATAGATCCACACGTACATGGTTAGTACGACAAAGATGACAGAGCACTTCAGCGGAGAAAGAATAGTCTTTCAATAAATGGTTTGAAAGAATTGGAAATCCATATTCAAATAAATGAATCTCTATCCTTGCCTAAATATAAAACCTGAAACTAACTTTTCTAGCAGAAAACTTAGGGGGAAAGGTTTGTGCCTGAGTTAAGCAAGGTTTCTTAGGTACACCAAAAGTATGATCCTTTAAAAAAGTTTTTGATAAATTGGACTTCATCAAAATTTAAAACTGCTTTTCAAGCTATTTTTAAGAAAACGAAAAATGGGCTGGCAGAGTGGCGCGTTGGTTAAGAGCTGGCTTGGGACACCAGAGGGCCCGGGTTTGGATCCCACATATGAGGGCCAGTGACACTGCCCTCCACAGCTAAGATGCTGAACAACAGCTCAACCTGGAGCTGGGCTGCCGTGAGTCACCAGCGACGGCGCAGACTGCAGCCCCTGTGGCAGTGGGTTGCCATGGGCTACCGTGTGTATGCAGCAGCCAGCATGAGCGGCCAGCAGCCACCATGAGCGGCCGTCCAGAAGCCGGCGACTGATCTGCCTCACCTGGGAAGAGCTCAATGATGGTGCCAACTTGGGCCAGTGAAGCCACATCCTCCACAACTAGACTGAAGAACAAAAGGACAGCAACTTGTCTGTTTCCCTTCCCCCAATTCCCCAATAAAAATCTTAAAAAAAAAAAAAAATACTCCAGTCTAGAAGAAAATATTCACAAAACACATCTGATAAAAAGACATATCCAGAATACATAAGAACTCTCAAAATTCAATAAAACTTTACAAAAGATACATGGCAAATAATAAGCAAAGGAAAAGATACCCAAGATTATTAGTCATTAGGGAAATGCATATTAAACCACAATTACATATCACTAGGTTTTATTGGATTGTCAGAAAAGTCATGACCTATTTTATCTATGTTTTTCAAAGGTCATTTGTTTATATAAAGAACAAAGATCAATGATATATTGCCCGTTTTGTTCGATATCCTTTTGCCATCTTTCAGTGAGCTTCATAATTCCTCGTTCATAGAAGGACCTGTCTTAATTTGCGAAAAACAACAAGGTGCTGATTTACAGCCTCATCTGAATTGAACGTTATACCACGTACACAAGGAGTTTTGAAGAAAGCGACACAAGTGGAAGTCTGACGGCACAAGGTTGGTGAGTATGGTGGATGCGGCAACATGTCCCATCCAAGCTCCAATAATTTTTGACGGGTGATCAAACTTGTGTGTGGTCTTGCGTTGTCATGATGGAACACAACTCCTTTACAATTAACAAGCGCTGGACATTTCTGGATGATAGTTTCGTTCAAACTGTCCAATTGCTGACAGTATACATTCGAATTGATTGTTTGGTTCCTTGATAGGAGCTCAAAAAACACGACACCTTTAAAATCCCACCACACTGAGAGCATAACCTTCCTCTGATGACTGTCTGCTTTCGATGTCGTTTGAGGCAAATCATCACGTCAGGACCAAGACCGTTTGTGCACCACGTTGTAAGCAATCCACTTCTCATCACCAGTTGTCAGTCGCTTCAAAAAAGGATCATTTTCCTCATGTTTAATGAGCATACTGCAGGTGTTTATACACGCCATCAAATGAACTTCAAGTTCATGCGGAACCCAAATATCGAGCTTGCTTACATATCCCAGCTTCTTCAGGTGGTCGTGAATGCTTGAATGATGGATGTTCCATGTTTCTGCAATCTCTCGTGTCATGTAACGTAGGTTTGACTCGATCAATGCCTTTATTTTCTCATCATCAACCTTGGTGGTCCTCCCTGACCAAGGAGCATCGTTGAGATCAAAATCACCAGCACGGAATTTTGTGAACCATCGTTGGCACTGACGGTCTTGTAGAGCATTGTCACCGTAAACTTTATGCAACTTTTCACAAGCTTGACGCACGTTTATCCCTTTATGGAAGTAAAACAGTAAAATATGGCAAAAATGCACAGTTTGGTCTTCCATCTTCAACTTGTAAAATCTCCAAAACTCAACCAAATTGCTCAATTTTTTTTAGAATGAAGCTAGAACTTTCAGCTGTCAAATGACATAGGAATAACATAGATGTGAATCACTCTAGTACTTCCAAAAATGAACTAGTACCATCTGTCGCAAACATGCGTCATGACTTTTCCTACAACCCAATAGAGTGGCTAAAACAACAAACAACAAAAACCCTGACAATGCCAAGAGCTCGAAAGAATGTGTACCAACTTGAACTTTCATACATTGGCTGCACCAGTTTACATTCCCACCAGTAGTGAGGAGGAGGGTTCCAGTTTCTCCACATTCATTTTTATATATATATATATATATATATATATATATATATATATATATATATATATATCCATATCCTCATCCTCATGGGAGTGAAGTTGTATTACACCGGTTTAAATTTGCATTTCCTAATGACTACTGATGTTAAGCATCTTTTCGTGTGCTTGTTGACAGTTTGTGTATCTTCTCTGGAGAAATGTTTATTCAAGTTCTTTGCCCATTTTTAAATTGGGTTGTCTTTTCGTTGTTGCATTGTAAGAAGTATTTATGTATTCTGGATATTAAACTTATCAGATACATGATTTGCAAATATTTTCTCCCATTCTGTAGGCTGTCTCTTACTTCTTGATAGTGCCTTTTGCAGCACAAAAGTTTTAAATTTTTATGAAGTCCAATTTATTTTTTTGTTGCTTGTGGTTTTGTTGTCATATCTAATAAATTGCCAAATCCAAGGTCATAAAGATTAACCCCTATGTTTTCTCATAAGAGTTTTATAGTTTAAGCTCTTACATTTAGGTCTCTGATGCATTTTGAGTTAATTTTTGTATATGGTGTGAGGTAGGGGTCCAACTTCATTCTTTTTCATGTGACTATCCAGTTGCCCCACCACCATTTGTTGAAATTCTTTCCCCACTGAACAATCTTAGCACTCTTCTTGAAAAGCAATTGGCCATGGATATATGGATTTCTTTCCGTTCTCTCTATTATTTTCCATTGCTCTAGATGTCTGTCTTTATGCCCGTCCCACACTGTTTTGGTTACTGTAGCATTGTAGCAAAGTGTAAATCTTCAAACTTTTTTCTTTAAGATTGTTTTTCGTTATGTGGGCTCCCTTGTAAATCCACATGAATGTTAGGATCAGCTTTCCTGTTTCTGCCTTAAAGGCCATTGGGATTTTGAAAGTATCTGTAGATCACTTTAAGGAGTACTGTTGCCTTAACAATATTAAGTCTTCAACCCATGAATAGGAATATTTTTTCATTTAGTTAAGTCTTATTTATTTATTTAGGTAGGCAACGTTTTGCAGTTTTCAGTGTTGTCTTGCACCTCCTTGGTGAAATTTATTCCTATTTTATTCTTTTTGTTCTTTGATTGTATAAATACAATCAATTTTTTCAGATTTTAAAACGTTTTATTTGCATATTAAAATTTGTACATTCCAATAATTAAAATCATTTGAACAAAAAAGAATTGGCCTTCTCATTAAACTGCATTTTACAGCCTGCAGGACACCTTGGACCAGCTTGGTTTTTACTCTAGATTTCACTGTCGTCCCATCCAGCTTCTGCCTTCACCAACATGCAAGTTCTTTTCCTTCCCTGCTAGCCAGCCAGGCAGATGGGAGAGGTAGGTGTGGCCTTCATTGTCAGTAGTTCTGATGTGAGAAGGAGCAGCACAGTCATTTAAACTTGATCTAACCTCTTTGTATCTTAGAAGTTAAGCAGCTAAAAGCAACAAAATATGAAGGCAATTCTTGTGGAACATACAGTTATACTGGAGATGTGTGCCTCGTTACGATTCGCCTGCTCACTTCTCCTGTTCAACCGTGTCTTTTGAAGGCAGTGGGTTTTTCTCTTGCGTTTCTGTCTTCTTCAATTTTGGCTGTTGAATTTCTCAATCTCAGCCTTATCAGGTTTGTCAGACATGGTTTCAGAGGAAGCAGAGTGAGGCGTGCGAACAGTTAAAAGAGTCCGATCTGCTCAGTTGCCACCACCAAGTGCCAAAATACAACTAATTTTTGTGTTGATCTTATATCCTGCAAATTTACTGAATTTTATTAGCTCTAATAGTTTTATTAGCTCAAACAGTTTTGAGTGTGAATTAATTTTTTCTCTATAAAAGCTCATGTTATCTGTGAATAGATTTGGAAGTTTAGCTTTTTAAGAAATTGTTTCCCAAAGTGGTGGTGCCGTTTTACATTTTACGTTCCCATCAGCAGTATATGAGAACACCAGTTCCTCCATATCCTTCCTCACACTTATATGAGTCACACAATACCCTGTCATTTACTTATGGAAAAATGGACAGTTAGGAAAGTTAAAGTGACTTTCCCAATCACCCAGAACTACCTTATCAGCATGCTCAAAGCCCTGATCCAGGTTTCACCAAGCCTGTACCTCTAAACCCTCATTTTCCATCCACAGATGAGGAAACTGAGATCCCAAGAGGTCACCCCTAGAAGCAACTCTCCAGTCTGAAAGAGCTGTTTGTTTTGTGTGGCCTGTCCCAAACCAGAATTACCAGGCACCTCCCCTAGGGTTCTGCCCCCTTCCCTTGCCCTCCTCCCACCCTGCCCCTGCCCTGGGCATCATCTGCCACGAAACTCATGGGATCCAGGAAGACTGGAAGTCTTCCTTGTGACATCACATTGCCTGTTGCCAAGGGAGACCTGCTGACCCACCCCCTAGGTAGGGGAGAGCAGAGCTCTGCTGCACAGGAGGCGGGGCCACACCTCCCTCACCACTCTGGCCCTCCATGGAAGCCTTGGTCTGTGCGTTCTCTGAGCTGCGCATAAGAGAAGGTGCCAGGCTGTGGGAAGTAGCAGCAGGAGGAGAGATGTCCTCTGTCCTTACCTGGGCCCAAAGCCACCAGAGTGGCCTAAGAGACACGCATGCTTGGGAGACAGGACTGGCCACTGGTCTAGGACGTGTGACTTGGGCTGTGTGATCCTATACTCGCTGTGCAATTTCTATTTTTTTTTTTAAAGCTGAGCCATCCTGCCACCTGTTGGCAGCTCAGCAGCTGCTCAGCTCAGGCCGGGAATCGAACTGCTGTTGCTCAGACCTCACACTCTTGAGCGAGCTCTTAACCAACTGAGCTACTCGGCCGGCCCCTCGCTGTTAAATTTCTATACCAGCACCAGGAGGCTCTTTCTAGGGTAGGGGGCAAAAAAGGGTGGCAGAAAGGGCTTGAAGACCTGAAAGATAATTTGGTGCCAAGGCTCAGGTTTCTCAGATCTCCCAGTTGGCTGGGAGAGGAAAGAGGAGTAACATGTTGGGTCAGGGGAGGCAGAAGGCAGGGGAGTTAGCCCATTTGACAGACAGGTAAGCTGAGGCTTGGCAGGCCAGGGTGGAGCCCATCACATGAGCCTGTGACTGCATTCTCCCTTCATGACTGCTGTGGCCCATCGACCACCATCGTCCTGCTTTCCCCTCCACAGATGCAGTGAGCTGGGCCCGAGGACTCCCTAGCCACCCCCATACACCACCTAACATCTATGAGGGAGGACTGGGGTCCCAGCAGCCCCAGTGCCATAGTGCCCAGGAAAGCAAGCCCAAGAACTTCAGGCTGCGGCACCTCCGGGGCCTGGCGCTCTACCTGCCGTTCCACATACAGCCCGCTGGCCAGTGTGAGAGCCATTGGCTGGGCCGGCTCATGGCTGGGGCCTGCCTCCCACAGTCCGCTGGCTGGGCCCTGGACCTACCACAGGGGATTCTGAGCCCAGGGAACAGCCATCAGTCAGCCGTTCTGGAAGCTCAACTGCCCAGGGATGGCCTGGGAAAAACAGGTAAGCACCTGTCTAGGTGAAGCAGGAGGGGAAGGCCCAGGGGAGAGTTGGGTTGGAGACTCAGATGGGCCCAGATGGGGCCTCTCTCCACTCCCAAACCTCCTGGGTTTCTGCCCCAGCTCTGCACTGGACGAGGGACCTTGGACAGCTCCCCCACTTCCGGGCTGGGTCTCAGTTTCCCCCTTTGTAAAATGGGTTTGGGTTAGATGACAGTCTTTCCAACTTGAATCGTGTTTCCCTCTTCCTCATGGGTTAGCTTTAAAGAGATCCATCCCCTCCCCTTCTGTTTTGAAGGATGCCAGGCTCTGGAGGCGTCATAGGATATAGGCTGGCAGCCTCCCCTGGGTCCCTCCAAGTGACTCCTCTTTCCCCTGTTTCCTCAGCTTCCAGTTCCAGCATGAACCCAGCCAAAGGTGTCTCCTCCCAGCCTGGTGCCCCTGAAGGCTTGGGGCTCAGGCCTAAGAGGTCCTGGGCGGCCTCAGAGGAGTCCACCTGTCCCTTGTGCAAGAGAACCCGCTTTGGGGCTCTGGAGAGGCTGTAGGGATCCGAGAGCCAGGGCTTGTTCTCACAGCTCTGGACAGGAGGGGAACGATGACCCGGGAGGAGGAGGCCCGTCAGGAGAGGAAGGGCTTAGCCCCACCAGTAGTCCCTCCACACCGAGACACCTGCAGCTGCCAGCACCAGATCCTAAGCCAGCCTCGGGAAAACTAAACGGGAAGGAGGAGGTCCTGAGGGAGGGACTGAAAAAAATAGAAGCCCGGGCGTGCCCTTGCAGCCTGCTCCAACTCAAGTCAGCCACTTGTACCTGGGAGGCCAGGATGAGCAGACAGTGGGGCTCCCAAGAGGCCCAGGAGCCCGCAGCTATGTTAATAAAAGCCAAAGCCTGCACCTTCTGTCCCCCAGTCTGTGTCTTCAGGCCAACTCAGAGAAACAGCCCCATGGCACCTGCATTTCTGACAGCAAGTGTCTGTCGATTCCATGTGGAATCCGAGGTGCTCCCATCCTTAGTCCTTCGGGTGGGACTACCAGAAGGCTTCCTGGCTGGGCAGGGTCTCAGCAGGCCTAAATGCAGGGCATGGCGGTCCTGGTTGAAAGGGCAGAGGACAAAAGAAGGTAGGCTGGGTTTACAGAGGGTGCCAGGGATGAGAGCCAAGTTCCCAAACTGGGCAGAAATGTTGGCCTGCATCCCATGTTGCCCTCACCCAGGGTTTGGTTGCATCCACTGCTCCAAGCCAGGCACCCTGGCCTGGGCTTCTCTGTACCAGGGAGTCTCAGCCTTGGCCCTGTTGACATTTGGGGCCAGATCATTCTTTGTGGTGGAGGCCATCACGTGTATTGTAGGATGTTCAGCAGCATCCCTGGCCTCTACCCACTCGATTCCACGAACTCCCTCCTCCCAGTGTGATAACCAGTGTCTCCACACAGTGTCCAATGTCCCTTGGGGGCAGAATCACTCTTAGTCCATGGCACTGGGCCTCAGACCTGCAGGGACAGGATGGGAGGACCTGGGTTGGCCTCAGTGACCCTCATCATCCTGGCAGCCTGGGTGGGGCTGGGGCTGAGCAGCCCCTCTTAGGGGCTCCTGTCAGCTCCACATGATGGTGTCAAGGACACCAGGACAGCTGGGTTCCTTCTAGACACAGGGGAATACACCCTTAGGCACCCTCCCTGCTCCTGTACCCTGGTTCCACCTTAGACACTTCATATGTCCCTGGGTCAACAGAGCCTGGAGACTTCGGTCCCTGGGCTGTTTTCAGGTTGTCATTGATGTGGGTGTGGCCCCGGGTGGTGGGAGCCTGAAGTCTGCAGTAGCTGGACAGCAGCCGCAGAAGGAGCAACAAGAGAGCAGGTGTTGGAACACTCCAGCTGTGACGGGGCAGGTGTGGGAGGGACGCAGCCACCCAGCTGGTCCACTGGGAGAGCTCCACGAGGTGACAGAAAGGGCAGCTGCCCTCTCCCTCAGCTACAACACCCACTCCCCCAGGAGGCTGAGGCTGGGAAGACCTGAGGGACCACTGCTCAAGACAGACTTTAGGGAGGCTGCCCCACGCACCAGGCAGAAGTGAGATCATACCCGAAGCCACAACACTCAGTCCCTGGAGACGGTTACACCCTGCCACACCCACACTTTTGGATGAAGGACTGAGGCTCAGGAGCACAGACTGCCCCAGGGTTCAGATCTTGGGATGCCCAGGCTGTGCTGGCCTCTGCTGAGCCACGTCCGGGTATTCTGAACCTGTGTAGTTCCCCCTGGCTTGAATTGGGACTCACTTTACCAATAGAATTTGGTGTAAGTGACATGACGTCACTTCTGGTGTGAAGGAGGTCTGGACACTTCTAGTGTGTGTAGCGGGGAGCAGAAGTCAGTGCCCACATAAGGAGCCCCACACACAGTGGGAAAACAAACCAGCCCAGGGGAGGCCATCGCCAAGCTCCGGGCCACCTTGGGATGGATCCTTCAGCCTGTCAAGCCACACTCGTTGATGCACTGAGGGCAGATGAGCCACAGCCCAGGTCTTTCCCCCAGGAAGGACACCTGCTGCAGCAACATGTCAGTCCCAAAGAAAACTGGCTAAGCTGGCCTCTAAATGGTCCCGCTCTAAACCGCCCAAAACTTTCTTGAAAAGCACTCCAAAGAAGCTAAGAAGCAGAAAAGCCATGGTCATGGCATGCTGGAGACAGGGAGCCACCGTGAAGGAGTGCCTGAGGCACTAACAAGCAGACCTTTGTGGAAAACAAATGCACACTGACCACCCTGGGGCCCCCCCACTTCAGTGGGTTTGGACTGGGCCACCAGGAGTCAGTCTCAGCCCTTGGGAAGCTGTCCTCTAAGCCCAATGGGCTGGGAGGGAACAGCTGCCTTCAGAGCAAGGCTCACCAGAACCCCACCTTTACCATCCCCGCAAGTTGATACTTGATCACATAACTCACCAACGGCCCCAAGGAGTCACCCCTTAAACCTGAAGCTGACCTATCAACACAGTGAAAAGACATACCTGCCTCAATAAGCAAGGTTCACCACAGTATCAGGATGCTGCACGGTGCTCAGAGTCCAGGCCAGCTCCCTGACCTCGCTCCATGCAGCGCCTCAGGCCCCCACCCGAACCCATGGGCTCCCCCACCCAGCTCTGCAGGTGCCTCAGGCCTGGTCCTGGAAAGGGCTATCTGGGTGATGCCCCGCCCTCAGGGAGCAGCACAGGCTTTCAAGGAGCCATTTGAGGCTCCCAGGTAACACCTGGCTTCCGAATCAGTTTTCCTCATCTGTCTAGTAGGGTGACAAGCACGATCCTCTGCCCCCAGGATGGCCAGAAGCTCCAAGAGGTTGGTGGAAGCACCTGGTCCTGGGCTTGGCCCAGCCTCAGGTTCCCACGGTGGGGTATCCTGGCCCAGGGGTCCCCGAGGCTCCCTGGTAGGGTCACCTGGTCCAGGGGTCTCCCAAACTCCCATGCTAGGGTGTCCTGGCCCAGAGATTCCACAGGCTCCAGTGGCAGGGTGCACAAGGCACATGACTGCACTGAATCACCTATGGAGCCTTCTCTAAACCAGTTCTCACCTCTCCCTCCCCCGCCCCAGACCAGGTCCCAGTTCAAGGCCCAGAGCTGGCCAAGGAGACCCCTGAACAAATCAGAGCTGCTGCTGAGGACCTTCTGAGTTTATAAAAAGAACCCCGTTGTGGTTTTCAGCTCTAGAACCCCTTCCCCAGAACTGCTTGTTTGGCAGGATAAATTATCCTTGGGACTAGACAGTGACAAGCAGCTCCTGGGCTGCCCTCAGCCTGGACCCCACCAATGGGCCAAATCCCCAGGGGCAGGGCCCAAAGTTCAAGACAGGAAGTGACCAATTACAGTCTATTTATTTGTTTGTAATGAGACAAAACACTACAATCCATTCAACACTGGGCTGGACAGTGATTGGGGCATGGAGGGAGGGGCAGGGCAAGGCCTCAGCTCAATTATGAATGTCCGTGGCAGAACTTTCTGGAAGACTCGTCCCTTACCCCTCAGGGCAGAAATAAAAACTACATGATCATCGTTGATTCAGATTAGAAGACAGTGAGCTGAGCCTGAGCTTGATGCCAATATCAGCACAAAGTGGAGACCAGGCAGTTGAGAGCATGAGGCGGCCAAGGGAGGAGGAACGCTTTTCCTACCAGGGCTCACCTTCATCTAGAGAACCTCTTTCCCCCACCATGAGGCCAGAGGAGCCCCCAGGCTGGGAGTTCTGAGGGAGGGAAGGACGCATCTCCAAGGCTCCCCTGCCCAGTTGTCCCCCCTTCTCCTCCTCCTCTGGCTAGTGCACTGTGGCAATGGCTATGTGACACTGCAGCGACACTGGACACGACGCTGCCAACCCCCTCAACTCTGGAGGGCAGGGCAGGTGGCAAGCAGCTTTGGGGGATGGGGGTAGGGGGGATGCCAGAAGCAAGTAATGTCCACACGCATGCTTCTCGGCACTGACATAGCCTCTCCTGTCTCTGTTCCCAGAGGCTGAGGGACCACAAGGCACGTGACTGCCCCCAGCCCCAAAGGCCAGATCCCACTTGATCAACACCACACTCAGCTTCTTCCTGTTTGCACCTGGCCAAACCGTGGAGCTGCAGCTCATGGGACTGGGGGGCTGGGGGAGAGGACCCCCAGGACCCACACTGGCACTTGTCCTCAGCCTGGCTCCCTGGAGCAGTTCAGCTGAATGGCTCATCCACTATCTGGTGGGCAGATCCTCGCTTTCCCGGACAGTGGGACTGCCAGCAGAGGAGGGGGACACCTTCCCATGATCTGACTGCCCGTGTCAGGCAGCTGAGCCCCAGAACTCTGCTTGGGTGAAAAGCCTTCCCCTTGTGAGGAGGTGGAGGCTGCTCCCCGCCCCCCAGGCTTCTGCAGGCTGGTTCTGGATGAGGGTCTGGCATTCCCTTTATTTCACCCCCTCATTTGTTTTGAGGGTCCTGTTTCTTTAGGGTCAAATCTGTCCATAACACTTGGATTCCTCCCTCCCAAAAGTTCATTCTGGCTTTGGAGGAAGGAGCTGAAAGGAACAGGCGGTGGTGGGGAAGAGGCCAGTGAGGAGGTGCAGGGAAGGAAGCCCCTTCCTGTCCCCTTGCTCCTGGGGCAGCAGAAGAAACAGACCACAGTGAATGCTGCCACACCCCAGCCGGCCTGCGGGGCTGGTGCACTTACATGAGGGCCAAACCAGGGTATGGGGCAGAGATTTCTAGAGCAAGCAGGAAGGGCTGGAAAAGCCTGCGGGGAAGAGAAGAGGGAACAAGGGTGAAGGCTTCCGCAGAAACGTTCTGCCCCACACTGTGTGTCCAGCCTAGGGGCCTGCAGCTGGCCCTGGGCACCCCTGAAGCCTGAGTCCATCTCCAGGCCTAGCGTCCCTTCCAGTGACCCCTGGGATTCCCTCAGTCCAGCACAAATCAAGGTCCTGGGGGTGCTATCCCAGGTGACCATGGAGCACGCTGTGTGAGGTTGGCTTGTCGCCAATCTGCTCTGGGCCATGTCCATGTACAAGGTGGTGGACCCGCGAGTTCCCATGACCCTGTCCTGCCCCGATGTTCTCTGACGTCTCAGAGAGATTGGCTCCCCATGGCACTGATGGTGCTCAGCAGTGGCCATGTCTGAGCGGAACCCTCATCTAAAGGTGCCCCCTCAAGGAGCTTCACTGTGAGCTGATGACACCACTGGTATTAAAACCGACAGCTAAGCAGGATCTATGGAAGCATGCCCGAGACACAGCAGCTCCAGACTCCCCTCAGAAGGGAGCCGAGTGGCTGGGAGGAGGGGCTTGATCTTTTGGTACCTTTTCCATTTTTGAACCATTTGAATGCGCTGTTTTTAAAAAAGTAGTTGAGGAAGTGAAAAGATAAAGATCTGGCCAGGGGCTCAAGGACTCTGTTTTACTTACTCAGGTTTCTCAGAATTGGTTAGGATCTACCTTAGCCCTTGGGACAGCAGGTGCTTGTCCAGGCCTTCTGTTTTTATTATTGAAACAGCCAGGCCCTCCATTTCGCAGGACCATCACCCCCCTAGGTTCTGCTCCCCTTTTTCCTATCACCTGCTCTGGCATACCTGTCAGAGACTGGGCGTGCCCGCCCCACGACGCTCTGCTCCTGAGCCCGCGTAGCACCGGGCCTGCAGCTGGGGCAGGCCGACAGGCCAGTTCCTCTGCAGAGGACAGCTGAGGTCAGATGGCCAGGAAGGCGGGCTCCGCAGGGCGCCGAGGGGTGGGACCTGCTGGAGGCTGCCTGGCTGGTATCACATGGTCCGGCTGTACTCGATGCCGCCCTTGGTGGAGATGCTCGACCATGGCAGGAAGCTGCAGAGCAGACTGTGGGCCTGGCGATAGATCCTGTGCGGGATGGAGCAGGGGCTCAGGTTTGCTAGCGCAGAGCCCAAGTGCTGAATGTAGTCCGTGGGGCTCCGTTAAGGAAGATTCCAGCTTGCCTCACCTGCCCATACACCCCTGGGGTGGCACTGTCAGTGGGGGCCCGCATGGCAACCTGCAGAACTTGTGCAGGTAGCATGCATTCTCATGGGAGGCCAATAGCTCAGCCTCTGCTGAGTGCTGCAAAGCCTTAGATGAAGGGGCCTCCAGTGGGCAAAATAATAAAGGGCAGCACATGAGTATAAGAAGACCTTCCAGGGCCGGCCGAGTGGCGCATTGGTTAAGAGCTGAGCTTGGGAGGCCAGAGGGCCCCGGTTCGGATCCCACATATGAGGGCCAGTGACACTGCCCTCTACAGCTAAGATGCTGAACAACAGCTCAACTTGGAGC